CAAACACATTGCAGATCAAATATTTGGAGTCAAGATGTTATTCACATAGATGGGTGATTGCAACTTTATTGCCATTAAAAGATTTCAAATTGCATACATGCTTCTGTGTACACATAATGAAAAATGGTCAAAATAATGAAGATTGATCTTTTCCTTAAGTCTGCTCTGTTTAATTCTGCTGCCTGCTCTTCTATAATTCTGCGTCTCTAATTGTACACAGTTTAGTGATACCTAGGAGTATAAAGTTGTCTCCCATCAATAAAAATCACAAAGTTGGTTTAAAAGGAAAAAAAAAGAAATTACTACCGTATTTCCCCATGTATAAGACACTCCCATGTATAAGACGCACCTTAATTTTGGGGTCTGAAATTTGAAAAAAAAAGTATTACATAAAGTTATTGAACTCAGGTTTTATTCATCATAAAATTCATACAACTCCTCATCACTGTCAAAACTCCCAACCATAGCCAGTCTCGGATTGTTTTCTCAGTTGGAGGAGAACCAAACTTATGTTCAGCAGCACGATTTCCATTCACTTTTACAAACTGGATCACTTTTAACTTGAACTCAGCACTGTATGAAAATCTTTTCTGAGCCATTTCTGGGCAGAATGTGGCAAAACATAACCTACCATAATATACCGGTAACAAGTGCGAAACAATGAGCGCAAAGACAACAAGTGCGAAAAAGTAGTAAATGCAAGTAAAAAAATCCACAACTACTGTATAAGACACACCCAGTTTTTAGACCCTAAGTTTTTCAAAAAAGGGTGCATCTTATACATGGGGAAATACAGTACAACCTGTAAGAAAAGGTAGTTGGCTCCTGTGCAGTATTATAGGTCATTCAAAATGTAATGGGAGGCCAGCCAAGTGGCACGTTGGTTAAGAGCTGGCTTGGGACGCCAGCTCTGAGCAGCAGAACCCCGGTTCGGATCCCACATGGGGCCAGTGACACTGCCCTCTACAGCTAAGATGGTGAACAACAGCTCGACCTGGAGCTGGGCTGCCGTGAGTTACCAGCAATGGCGTAGGCTGCAGTGGGCTGCTGTAAGCTACTGTGAGTGGCTGGCAGCCGGTGTAAGCTGCCAAGAGCCGCCGTGAGTGGCTGTCCAATGGCAGGCGACCAATCTGCCTCACCTGGGAAGAACGCAATGATAACACCAACATGGGCCAGTGAAATGACATCCTCCACAACTAGACTGAAGAACAAAAGGACAGCAACTTGTCTGTTCCCCTTCCCCCCAATTCCGTAGTGCTGTTCCCATCCCCCAATTCCCCAATAAAATATTAAAAAAAAAAAAGAGGGCCCTACAAAGACTCAGATGACAGTGCCTAATATACAGGATTTCACCCCAATTTGCGTTCCTGAGGTTGGAGGCAGGAAAGGGAGACATTAAATTCATTTGGACAGACTTTTATTCAGGGTATAGGCAACTTGCCTTTCTTTCCAGAAGCCCAAAGGAGGTTGGGGGAGGGGGTGGCCGAGAAGGCCTGTGTATACAGGGGACAAGACTAAGGGCCCCAAAGATACACAACACTAAGGGCTTTCAAGCTGGACAGATCCAGAAGGCTTCAGGGAGGAGGCAGCCTTATAAACGGTCTGGATTTCAATCCACAGTGAGGGTGGAAAGGGAAGAACATGCCAGGCCTGCCAGGGGTGGGGTGGAGGTTACAAAACTGTCAGAAAGGCAGAGAGGCTGGACAGAAAGTAGTGAGGCTTGGCTGTCCAGGGGCTGCCCACGAAGAGTTGCTGAGTGGTGGGGGAAGGGGAGGGAGAGGCCCTGTGGAGTTATGGGACATAGTCTGGCCAGGGCTCAGGATTCAGGGGAGAAAGCACCCCAGGAACTCATGAAGGAGCTAAGACTGCCCTGGAAAGACCAACCCGAGGGAGGGTTGGGGTCAGGGGTTCCAGAGAGCCAGGTCCTCTGCAGGAGCAGCGGGCCCTGGGTGAGCGCCTGGCTCTGCAGACTCCCACGGAAAGCCCTGAGAAGGAGAAAGCCACACTCTCGAAGCAGAAGAAGTGTGCCTCCACCCCGCAGCCCAGAACCTCTAGCCCGGCACTGCCAGAGGAAGGGGAAAGTTGTCAGAGCATTGGCAATGCCAGGCCATGCTGGCCTGACAGCCACTGCCTGGTCACAAGGCCGGGGCAGTCCCATCTTCTGGAAACAGAAGATCTTGTTGCTGATTAAGGCCCCCAGTAAAGGTACTGGAGCCGGGAACAACGTGTTAAAGTCAGACCCTGGGCAACCCAGTGAAGCCAGAGAAATGGATCTGCTGCCCTCAATCCCAGATGCCTCCCAGCCAGCCACTCAGAGCCAAGCAGTGCCCAGGCCCACCTGCCCTGCTGAAGTTTGTCTGTCCTTGAGGCCTCCAAACCGATTGATGAATGTGTTGGAAAACACTAATCTGTGCTCAGCAGAGAAAGGAGAGAGGGTGGCCCCCCCCCACCCTGTGTCTCCATGTGTTCTTTTCATTGTTGTAACATTTTCTTAATACCCATGTATCTACACCTATAAATAATACTAATGTCTAGCCCTTAAATAGAACTTCCCATATGCCAGACATAGTTCTAAGTGCTTTATGTATATTCATTTATTTAATCCTCACAACAATCCAATACAGTAACCCGTTTTACAGATGAGGAAACAGGCATAGGGGGTTAAGTCATTTGCCCCAGGAAGTCTGGTACCAGAATCTGGTTGTCTTAACCATCAAGCTAGGAGGTCATTACATATACATATACGTGCAGTTGTGCAGTACATAACGTTTCTGTCAACAAGGGACCATGTATATGAGGTGGTATACCATATAACTTAGGCGTCTAGAGTGCTATACCTTCCAGGTTCATGTAAGGGCACTCTGTGATGTTCACACGACAAAATCACCTAATGGCACATTTCTCAGGACATAGCCCCATCGTTAAGAGGCACATGACTGTACATATGATGTTATATAATTTTTACATAATCGCATAAATGTGATCATATACATTTTAAAGTTTTCCTTTTATATTTTTCCTTCCCTCACCATAGAATTCATTTTATCACCCTAATGTGTGATCTATCTTTTTTACTCACAATTATACATGGATTTACATATACTGATACTTCTCATCACATGTACATACACAAGGTTCCTTTTTGTCACTATTTTAATAGTGGATTATAGTACATAAATATTTCTGCATCTCTCTTTTCTCACTCGTCTACATCTGGAAGGCCGTGGAAGATCTAATTCACTATTTTTAACAGTCACACATTAGTCCACCCACCGTGTCTTTCCACCTGGCCCTCCTGCTCATGGTCAGCTTCTAGAGTCCCATCCCCACCCCTAATGTGCTTGTTTCTTTCATCCATTAGGGAGTCTGATAGTGGAAATTCCTGGACTGGTGAGAGGAAAGGCCAATGAGAAGGCAATAAGTGGCATTTCTGGCTGGGTCTTGCCCATCCCCTGGCTGGTGGCCTGCAGCCCTCAGCCCCCAGAGGAATGCTGACTGTGTTATTGTGAAATCATTTGTATATTGTGAAGTGCTTTGCATGGGATGAAGTGATTTGCATACAGGGTGCCGGGCATTAGACATCCCAGAGCAGCATCCCGGAGTATCTTCCTCCCTTTGCAAAGAAAGCAACCAAGGACTTCCACTTCAGAACTCAGGGAGGGGCACAGGAAGACATCCTGGAAGACCTCCCTAGGTCTGGGGATGAGGCAGACCGGGGGGCTTTCAGAGGAAAGCTGATCCCACCTGGAAGGAGCTGGGAGTCTAAGATGGGCAGACATTGGAGTGTGAGGTGGGACAGAGCTTCGGATGCAGCAGGTGAGAGACAAATGTGCCCTCAGAGCCCCCAGGAGGGGAGAACAACTCAGGACAGAAGAAGGTAGCTATCATGGGAGGCAGATGAGAGTCAGAGGTTTGGAGAACCCCATCCCATCACAATCTCTGCCCAAGTGAGGAGCCACATGCCCCTTCTTGAATATTCTACAGTCCCGGCTGACTCCCAGAGAAGGATGCAAAGTGGAAACGCCAAGCCAGACTCCCACACCCTAGAAGTGAACGGTGCTACCACACGCTCTGGGTTCAGGGACACCCAGGTTTGGATCCTGGCTCTGCCATCTGTGCCATTGTTTCACCCTGGGCGAACGGTTCCCACCTCAATGGGATAGAATGAAGGTTCAATAAGAATGCAAGTAGAATGAATTGTGTATAGGTGTTCAGAAAATTGCAGTTATAATAATAATGGTATTGTTTGCTGCCCTAGTCTAAGAGGTCAGGCCGACTTCCTGCAGATGAGAGGAGCACAGTTTTTGCTCCCTCAGGTTTGGAGTTCAGAGCAGCAGTATCAAGCCACCATGCACTGGACCCCAAAGGGTTACAGGCTCTGGAGACAAAGGCCTGAGGTTCCCAGTGAAAAACCAAAGCATAAAAATAATTCGATGAGTAAGAATAAAATTCCCTCTTCTGAGGTTCCCGGGGCTAGGCCCCTCCCTGCGGCAGGCACTTCCCCTTTCCCTTGTTCATGGAGGAGCCAGACTGGTGTGACTCAGAGCTGGAGCGCCGCAGCCATCGTCCCACCCGGGACCGGCCCGGCCCGGCAGGGGGCTGCGAGTATGGCAGCCGAGCGCGCCCCCGTGCGGAGGCGGAGGGGACTACACCTAGAAAGAAGAAGCGGCGGCAAGCCCCGCAAGCCCAGCCGCTCGCGGTCCTGACAAAGCCACTGCCTCCGCCCAGCCCAGCACGGCTGAGCGCGGTACCCAGGGTCTCCCACTTCCGCCCGCCTCCCGTCCAGGCACTCCCGAGCGGAAGTGAGTCGGCCTCCTGGGTCCCCCATGGCGGCGAAGCGGAAGCGCGCTCCAACAGCCGCTCCCCTCGACCCCGAGGCGCGCGGCGCGTCGGGTTCCGGACAGGTCTCGTGTGACGTGGCCGCGCGCGGGGGGCGGCGCCGGGCCGGGGGCCGGCCTGCCGGGCGGGGCGGGGCGGGGCAGACCCGGGGCGGGGCGCGGCAGACCCGGGGCGGGGCGCGGCAGACCCGGGGCGGTGCGCGGCGCCGCAGCTGGATGGCCGGGGCCGCCAGGAGCATTGCCGCCGCCGCCGTACGGTGAGTGACCGCCCGAGCTCCCCGCCCTCCCCACCGCCCCGGCAGGAGGGACCCGGCGATCCCCTCGACCCCGGCCCGGCTCGTCCTGGGCTGACCTGGGTCTTTCGCCCAGAGCCCGGAGTTAAACTTCCTTGGGCTCTCCTTTTCCCCTGTCGCACACACGTCACTCCCCATCTCTCCCTTGCTCTCCTCCTCCTCGTCTGTCTCTCCCACTATTTCTGGATCGCTCCGTCTTGACTCTCTTGCTTTCTCCCTTCCCTTCCTCTCTGACTCTCTCCGTGCCCCCTTCCCTTCTCTCAAATCTGTGGTCCCCTTACCTCTACGTGACCCGCCTCTGCCTCCAAGCCTGGCCTGGCCCAGTCCTGCCTTTGGTCCCCAGTGGAAACCCGCGGGTTTCATCAGGGTCTCCCGTTCAGGCCTGGAGGTCCTGGACGTGGGCCTCTTTTCTAAGGCCAGAGGCAGTTGCTTTCCCTTCCTCCCACCTCCAGCATCGGGTCAGGAAACTGAGGCAGGCACATCACCGGCTCAAGGTCACAGCCAGCACGAGGCAGGGCAGACCACATTTAAAACTCAATGCCTGAGCTCCCAGATTGAACTTCTCTCTTGGTTGACTCACATCCTCCTCCTCTGATCACTGGCTGGTACATTCCTGCTGCGCAGTGCTCTGGACCTCCTGCAACATACGGAGGGCACTCTTCCATGCCAGGCACGTTCACCTGCGTTAGCAAGCTCATTTCATCTTCACACCCGTGTGAGGGAGGCAGTTCTTCTCTTCATCCTGTAGATGAGGAAACGGAGGCTGAGAGAGGGGGCTTCAGGGACTTGCCCATAGTCAACCAGCTGCAAGTGCAGAGCACAAAGTTCATGGCAGGTCTCCAAAGCCAGTGCTCTGAGCATCAGTGAGGCAGCTCCTAACTGAAGGATCTCTCAGTCCCACCTCCTGTCTGTCTGTGTACCCCAGGGGCAATGGGCTCATGTCCCAGGAAGATGCTCTCCATGGCACTGGCCGATCTCAGCTGCTTGGTTTCCCCACCTGCACCTCCTAATGTCACTCCATCAAGCTAGATAGTTCCGGCCTCAGTCCTTGGGGTGTCCTCACCAGGGTACACTCTGGCGGCAAAACCTCCCCTGGCAGCCAGAGACACCCTGCTGGGCCGGGCCCGCTGGTGGCTGAGGAGAGCCCAGCCAGCGCCTCACCCTGTCATTAGGGAAAGTTTAGCCTCAGGCGGACGTGCTGACACACAGTCTGGAGCTGGCTGAGAAGGAAAAACTGTGTGGTTCTTGGAGTGGGGTGTGGAGAGCACAGCCCCTTTTGCTCGGCACCCACTGTTCGGATCCTCAGAGGCCCTGGGCCCGGCAAGCAGCAGGGCACATGCCATGGCACATGGGGGGTGGGAAAGGTTAAGATGCCACGTTTCATAGTAAGTATGTGGCCACGCGTGGCAGCTCAGGTAAGCGGCCTTTGTGTTTTTCAGCACGTGGCATGCCTGGATGTCCCTGCCCTGGCTGTGGCATGGCGGGCCAAAGGCTCCTCTTTCTCACTGCTGTTGCCCTGGAGCTCCTGGGAGGGGCTGGGGGTTCCCAACAGGCCCTCCGGAACCGGGGGGCTGCAGCGGCCTGTCGCCTAGACAACAAGGAAAGCGAGTCCTGGGGATCCCTGCTGAGCGGGGAGAGGCTGGACACTTGGATCTGCTCCCTCCTGGGCTCCCTCGTGGTGGGACTCAGCGGGGTCTTCCCGTTACTGGTCGTTCCCCTGGAGATGGGGACCACGCTGCACTCGGAAGGTGAGTGGCCCTCCTCTAGGGCCGCCAGCGGCGTGAGAAACATGGAGAGCTGGCTCTCACATTCCAGGGTACAGTGTGTCTGAGGCAGAGGGTGAGAACAGAATACAATTTCTCACCGTGGTCCTGTGAGATCAGAGGGTGCACCATGTTCCCTTGTTCGTTCATTAATGCGTTGCTTTATTCTGAAAGAATAGCAGGCAGCAAACCTTCACCAAGAAGCAGTCTAGGTAGTGGTTAGAAATATGGGTGCCAGCCTGCCTGGGTTCAAATCTTGACTCTGCCACTTACCAGCTGGATGCTACTGGACAAGTTACTTAACTTCACTCTGCATCAAGCTCCCAACCTTACAAATGGGGATAATAAGAGTATCTACCTCATAGGTATTGTTGTGACAATTAAATGAACTCGTATCAGTAAAGCACTTACAAGACTGCCTGGTACAGGGAGAAGGCTATGTGTGTGGGGGGCCCCGTGCTGGGTGTGGGGGTGCAGTGGCCAGCCAAGCACTGCCTCTCCCTTCAGTCTCTGCTCATAGTGTGCAAAAGTGCTCTGAGATCAAAAGCCCCTGGGTCAGGCTTACCCAGGAACACACGACAGGCTGGTCGCAGGCCTGCCTCTGGGGAGGGAGTCTGGGAAGAGGGGCACAGCCGTGGGTGGAGGCTTTTCCTCAGCCACCCTTTCATATGGTCTGTATGTACTGTGTCCACAAATCACATGTTGTAATGAAAAGAACACAAGATCAGATGGGGAGTTGCTAAAAATACAGGTGCCTGTTGCCCCCACCCAAGAGTATGATATAATAGGTCTGGAGCAGGGCCCCAGGAATCTTTGAAATGAGTGCTTCAAGGGCTTGTGCCTCCCTATTCATTCAGCATGTGGTTATGAACACATCCATGCCAGGCCCTGGGCTGAGGGCTGGTGCCACGGCTGTGAATGGAGCCCTCCTGGGGCCCTGCTGTCATGCCTGAGCATCAGCTCAGTCCCTCTCATGGCATCCCTGCGAGGTCATTGTTAGGAAGGACTTGGATTATTAGCTCCATTAGCACAGGCACAGAGAGGTTCTTTGACCAGCCCAAGGTCACACAGCCTAGGAGCAACAGCTTCCTCTGGGATGCTTGCTATCCTGACCCCAAGCTGCCTCTGTCCTCTGAGCCTTAGTTTCTCTATCATACCAAGGGTTTGGACATGACCCTCTTTGGGCACTTCCAACTCTGGATGCTGCAAGCTGGCAAAAGTCTCCAAATCTCTGTCACTCTTCTGAGAGTAACAGTGGCTGAGAAAAAAAAATTCCCATTTAATGAGCACTTCCTATGTGCATGGTCACTTAATTCCCACAAGATCCCTATCAGATAGGTACAATTATCCCCAGTTTATAGAAGGGGAAACTGAGTCCCAGAAGTAATCTGTCCAAGGTCACCAGCTGGCCGGGTGGGGAGCTGGGACCTTAACCAGGAGGCAGTAGTGGTTCCACAGTTGTTAAGGAGGCCGTGGTATATTCCTGCGGAGCACCCTGCCCTTGCTGGGCTTGGGGGACAGGGGACCCAGGAAGGGCAGCAGCCCGTGTCCAGCCTTCCAGAGGCTTGTGTTTTGGTTAGAACAACACAAAGAGCCTAGAAAGCTGGGTGGGGCGGAGGCTGGGCCAGGGGCCCCGGTGGGTCAGCCTCCAGACCCCAAATCTCTGCCTTGTAGCTGGGGCCCGGCGCCTGAAGCAGCTGCTCAGCTTTGCCCTGGGGGGACTCTTGGGCAATGTGTTTCTCCACCTGCTGCCCGAGGCCTGGGCCTACACGTGCAGTGCCAGCCGTGGTGAGTGAGGCTGCAGGCTGGGGGCAGGAGGGTGGGGGATGGAGCTGCTATCCACGCCCAGGGATGGCCTAGGCCCTGCCTGTTCTGCTAGAATGATTGGGAGAGGGGTTCTGGGCATCTGGCAGGAACTTGTCATGGACTCAGTGCCCTGGTCCCTGTGGGAATCCCTGGGGCCCGGCTGCCCCACCAGCCGGTCCTGGTTCCCTTTGCCCTGGCCTAGGTCCCATTCTAAATGGCCTCCCTTCTCTGGGCCTGGCTTTGCCTGGCCTGTCAGTGCTTCCCTCTGCAGGTGGTGAGGGGCAGAGCCTGCAGCAGCAGCAACAACTGGGGCTGTGGGTCATTGCTGGCTTCCTGACCTTTTTGGCTTTGGAGAAGATGTTTCTGGACAGCAAGGAGCAGGAGAGGACCAGCCAGGTGAGCCCCAAACTCCAGGACCCGGATACCTCAGCCTCTGTTGTGTGATGGGGCTGGAGACCCAGGTTCTGAATTGAACCCTGAAAAGGTCTCTTGGCCTTCTCGGAGCTCTGGGAGTCTGGGCCAGCTCGTTTGGGAGGATCTGGGGAGTGAAGGCATCAGCCCCTGCCATGGCATGTTCTCGTAGACTGATAGTGACAGCAGTGCAGGGGAGGTGGACAGGCTGCTGAATTTGGGAGCACCTAGCTGATCGCGCAGCAGAGAAGTCTAGCCAGACAAAAGTGGTGTTCCCTCTCTGTCTCTCCATATCTTGTCCCCTTTCTGTGTCTACTCTGGCCAAGTGGGGGGCATCTAATGTCACCTCTCCCTCCTTCTCCTGGCCCTAGGCCCCCAGCAAAGACCCCGCTGCTGCTGCCGAGCTCAATGGAGGCCACTATCTGGCCCAGCCGGCTGCAGAACCCGGCCTGAGCGCCGTGGTCCGGAGCATCAAAGTGAGTGGCCCGCTCAGGGTCCCCTCCTCCTGCAGCTGCCCCACCCTGAGTGATCGGCCTGGCTCAACCCTGCCTGCCCAGTTCAGCCTGGCTTTCTCTCCCCTCACCCAGGTCAGTGGCTATCTCAACCTCCTGGCCAACACCATAGACAACTTCACTCACGGGCTAGCTGTGGCTGCCAGCTTCCTTGTGAGCAAGAAGGTGAGTGGGGGTTTGGGGCCGGTGGGGCTTAGGCATTTCTGGTGGGAATGATGGTGCCTGTGTTGACCAGTTGGCTCTACCTCCAAAATAGGTCTCCAGCCCATCACTTGTTGTTCCCTGCGTCAGCAACACCCTCATCTGAGCCCCCCGTCCTCCCTGTTGCACTCCTGGACACAGCCTTCTTTTGTCCCGAGCCACGGGTCTGTTCTCCTTGCTGCGAACACTCCTTGTTGGGATCACATGCCTCTGCCAGGCTGCTGAGCTTGGCCCTTGCCTGCTTCTAGATGCTTCTCCCCACCTTCTCCCTCTGCCCTCTGTGCTCTGGCCCCAGTCGTCTGCCTACTCTCGAATGGGCCAAGCCCTTTGCCCCCTCATGGCCCCCACCTACACTGTGCCCTCTGCCTAGAATGTTCTTCCCACTCTTTCATGGCTGGCTTCTCAGCCTTCAGGCCTTGGCTTAAATGCACTTCCTCAAAGAGGCTTTGCCGACCCCGTCTGAATTAGGCCCTCATTACTCATGCTCCATGGAACCCAGTCCCAACGTTCCCCCACAGCACCTGTCACGGGGTACAATCACACGGCTTTTTGTGTGTTTACTCAGTCCTGGCCTCTCCCCTCCAGACGGTTAGCGTCATGAGAGTAGGTTCCTTATCTGTTTGATTGGCTGCCGTATTTCTAGTCGCCAAACAGTGGCCAGCCGGAGCACTCAGAGCAGAGTAAATATGGTAAATGAGGGGGCAAATGGGTGCCCTGGCCCTGGGCACGCCCCCCATAGACTCCCCTTCCTGCAGATCGGTCTCCTGACCACCATGGCTATCCTCCTGCATGAAATCCCCCATGAGGTGAGTGCCAGGGGGTCCCATGGTCAGTACTGGGGGCTGGAGCCTGAGGGAGGGATTGGGGTGGGGCTGCCTGGCAGTGGCAGGCTCAAGGACTGCACTTCAGAGGCCTGGAGCTGCTCAGCCCACCAGGCTACAGCCACCATCTCAGCTGTGTTCCAGTCTCCTCGGGCCTGGGGTCCCAGCCACGGGATGCGGGCTGGGTGGCCCAGAGGCAGGGTGCAGGGGGCTTGGTGTAGGCGTCCATATCTGAGGTGCTCAGGGGGTCTGGCCCCACTGAGCCCCAGAGTGATCATCTGGACCTCACCGCAGGTGGGCGACTTTGCCATTCTGCTCCGGGCCGGCTTTGACCGATGGAGTGCAGCCAAGCTGCAGCTCTCGACGGCACTGGGGGGCCTGCTGGGCGCCTGCTTCGCCATCTGTACGCAGTCCCCCAAGGGAGTAGGTACGGGCATGGTGGGTGGTAGTGACAGGTGGCAGCCAGCAGAGGGGCCCCGGCCAAGGGCACCCCTGCCCACCCCGGGTATCCAGGCCAGGCTCTGCCCCCGGTCCACCCTGGGAGGGGGTGCGGTACACACAGCTCCCCTGGGCTGCCAGCCAGTCAGGCCTTCTCCCACTGCAGAGGAGACTATGGCCTGCATCCTGCCCTTCACCTCTGGCGGCTTTCTCTACATCGCCCTGGTGAACGTGCTGCCCGACCTCTTGGAGGAAGATGACCCATGGTGAGTGACCCACTAGGACTGCCACTCGCAGGGCCCTTCAGGGCTCCAGGGGGAGGAGCTTCTGGCCTCTGCGCGCCCCGCCCTCCTGAGCCCTGCCCCTCTCCCCACAGGCGCTCCCTGCAGCAGGTGCTTCTGCTCTGCATGGGCATCGTGGTGATGGTGCTGTTCTCGCTCTTCGTGGAGTAACGGCCCGACTCCCCACCCCCCGCACAGCAATAAGAGACTGGGATTTACTCTGTGACCACGTGTGAGGCAGAGAGGGCAAGTGCCTGTGCGAGCGAGCGAGCCTCGGACCCAATGAGAGGATGGGGTGTGTGTGTGCGTGCATGGCGTGCACGTGTGACCAGGAGTGTGTGTGACCGACACTGTGATCCCTTGTGCATGGGCCCAGGGCCCAGGGCCCAAGCCTGCTCCCACTGCGAATCACGCTGTGGTCCTGTCTCCCTATCATCTTGCACCTCCCGGAGTGAGCAGTGAGGAAAGAGCAGCATTAGTCCACAGCAGAGGCCTCTCCCCACCAGGACCCCAAGGGGAGTGAGGGCAGCCCAAGGAGCCCCAGGGTGCAGAGCCCCAAAGCCCCCGCTGGGGCCTCATGAGTCCCTGGCTGAGGGAGTAAACCCCCCGCTCATGCACCCAGCCCTGGGCAGCCTAGGGGCTGAGGCTGGGGTGACTGCTCTGCTGTGCCCATCATCCTGATCCTTCCTTTGCCAGCTCTAAGGCCAAAGAAAGGAGAGGCGGCTGCTCGTGTAACCCCCAGCACCGCTCAGCACTGACAGTTCTCGTCCCAGCATGAGGCTGGGAGATGCTAAGACCTTTTCCTCATGGCTACCTACCCTCGGCCAGCTCCTGTTCCCCCGGTAGTGCCAGCAGCTCCTGCCACCTCCAGCTGCCAAACAGCAGCCTGCAGGGCAGCCAGGAGTCCTGGGCCAGAGAGGCCTCCCAGTCCAGCTCAGGGATGCTCATGCCAGCACAGGGTCCAGGCAGATCCTCGGGGGGCAGGAAGAGAGTGAGCCATGGCTGCCTCTCCCTGCTCGGGCCCCTTTTCCTGTCCCACTGTGGGTGGGGGTAAAGTGGGGGTAGTGAAGGCTCCATGTTGTCAGCACTCAGGAATGTGCTCTGGGAGAATGCTGAAGCCATAATCCCCAGCTATTTCCCTTGGCTGGTGCCCAGGTACACAGCTGGCCCACTCCACAGCCAGGCTCCAGCCCTGCTGCTCAACTGTGGAAGGTTTGAGAAGTGGCCATCAAGAGGGTCTGAATGGTATTAGTTTTGCTGTGGTTCGATTTGTAACTGTAAATACTTGTTCTGTAGATAAGATGCAAATAAATATTATACACAAACCCACTGCCTGTTTCGCACACCACCGTCCGTGGGCAGGGCCTTCGCGGGTGCCTGTGCTGTGGCCAGCGTGGCTGCTCCGCGGCTGGTCTCCACTCGTCGCCACCTTCCACCCTTCTGCTTCGTGTATCTGAACAGTTACCCTTGCAGTGCTTCTTGGAATGGGACAGCATTTCATGTTTCCCTGGCTTGTTTTGTTGTTAGCTTTTTATCACAATAAAACAAGCCCGGCACTGTGTCGTGGCAGCCCATGGCACGAAGGGTGGCCGCCTCATTGTACAGCCCTGCAAGCCAGGGCTTTTCCCAGCCTGCCCCTGGATCATTTTATTCAGGAAGGTAGCTCCATCGCAAAGGCATCTCCAGGTTTGGCCTCAGTGAAAAAAGACAGAATCCTTATTCTAAACCACATACCTTCGCCGCGTCTGAATGCGCTGTGTGTAAAGACGGCTTCAGGCACCGGGGGGCGCTGCTTCTCCACAGTGCTATCAGGAAAAAGCAGAGCTGGGAATGGAGTCTCTCCCACTCTCCAAGCCAACCAGGACAACCTCCAGGAGCCTGATAGCCCAGCAGTCTGCACAGCACCGCGGAGGCTGGAACAGGCTGTGAAACCCAAGTCGCTGCACCCTCAGCTGCGAGTGCCTGGCCCTAATCAGTATCTACTCAGCAAAAAGGAATCCGAGTCCCCTGTGAAATACCCAGGGATCTGGGTCTGCACTGATCTGTCAAGGAAGGAACCCCAGGCCGTCTGGCCAGCCCCCACCCTCCCCAGGCAGCCCTGGGGCTCCACAGTTGAGCGTCAGGTGCAGATTCACTCAGGTGCCATGGCCAGATGAATATCCTCACTGGTTAGAAGAGGGAATGGAATGTAGGAATGGGGACGGCTGAGCCCAGGACAGGGAAGACAACCAGAAGCAGGGTGCTGGGGGCACCTGGGGCAGGGGGTGGGAGGCCAATGGGAGTACCGAGAAGAGCCACATGGGGGCGCATCAGGACACTCCCGTAGAAATGTGGCTGTGAAGGTGGGCCTGGAGATGGTGGGACTACAGGGGAGGGGATCTGAGCTGGGAGGGAGCCCAGGCCTCCAGAAAGGCCCAGGCCCATTCAGCTCACTGCGGGAATGTCCCCTTCAGGGAGGGAACAGTGGGAAAAGAGGGTATAGGGGCTTTTGCCAGAGGGCAAATGAGAGCTGGAGATTTCTGAAGGGCTGTTACTTTTTAAAAGGCCATTCAGGGGTCAGCTGAGTGGCACGTTGGTTAGGAGTTGGCTTGGGAGCCAGCTCTGAGCAGCAGGGCCCCAGTTTGGATCCTACATGAGGGCCAGTGACACTGCGCCCTCTACAGCTAAGATGGTGAACAACAGCTCAACCTGGAGCTGGGCTGCCATGAGTCGCCAGCCACGGCGTAGGCTGCAGAGGGGCTGGTCTGCAGCTGGCATGTGCTTTCGTGTGCCACTGTCCAATGGCTGGTGAGCGACTACCTTACCCGGGAAAAGCACAATGATAATACCAACATGAGCCAGTGAAGCAACGTCCTCCAAAGCTAGACTGAAGAGCAAAAGGGCAGTGACTTGTCTGGTCTGTTCCCCTCCCCCAATTCCCCAAAAAATCTTTTTTAAAAAAAAGGCCATTCAGGGGGCCTCTCAAAAGACATGGGGCCTGACATGGAGTGAGGATGGCAAAACGGGGGGGAAAGAACAGAGTGAGCCTAGAAAGGCTCTCACAGTGGATCTTGATCAAGGTTCATTTTGCAGCCAGAGGAAATGGGCCAAAAGAGCTAATGAGGGCATGTGGAGAAAAAGGAGGCTTAGGGGCCAGGAAACTAAGGAGTTTCAAGGGAAAAAGACCCTGAGCGTGGCTTTACAAGGAAGCAAGACCCAGGCCAGAACACCAAAGTGCGAAAAGGCAAAGGCTGGCTCTGTTTAGGCCCTTCAACCTAGAGCTGCAGCGCCACCACCTCTAAGGCTCAGAGGGAGTGGTGGGAGGGGATTTGGAGGGACACGGCGGGAGAGGCCAGAAGACCCCAGACGACAGCTGGAGCACTCGCCCATCCCTCCCACATGGCCTGGCCCTGACATCTGATTTGAGGCCCACAGCTGTCTCAGGTTTCCAGGCAGCAGCACCTAGGGAAGGGGTCCTATGTGTGTACCCCCACTCTTTCGCTCAGAGCCCAGGGAAGGTGAGACACAGGTGGCAGGGACACGAAACCACGTTTTATTAGGAGTTTTGACCAGCAGGAGGCCAGGGCGTGATGCAGTGGGCGAGCCTAGGCATAGTACTGCAGGTTGGCTTTCTTCTTGGCCTGCACCTCCAGGATGCCCTCCATGTAGTCCTCGTGAGTGAGTTCCGTGGCTCCCCTGCGTAGTGCGATCATGCCCTGCATCCAGCACAGACAGGTTCTAGGGGGCCTCCCACACTCCCAGCCCGGCGCCCAGCGGCCACGGCCTTCTCGGCCTCTTCCCCTCAGCAGCCTCCACCGACCAAAGCCCCCTGCCCTGTCCAGGGATGGGGGCAAGGAGGCACGAAGCGCCCGCCCACCTCACCCCGCCACTCACCGCCTCCACACACACAGCCTTGCACTGGGCCCCGTTGAAGTCATCCGTGCAGCGGGCCAGCTCCTCATAGTTCACGTCAGGACTGTGGGGAGGGAGGACCGACAACGCAGAGCTTAGTTAATGGGGAGGGGGCGGGGGAGCAGGGGTGCGCCCACACTGCCCAGCAAGTCGCAACCCCAGCTCGCCCTGTGACTGGCGGCACGTCCCACCCCAGTGCCTTGTTCTCTTCTTGATACAAGACTGGGGGAGGAAGGGAGGCATTTAGACCAGGTTATTCTGTCTCCAGGCTCTAACTAGCCTTCTAGAAATCTGTACCTGTGACCCCAGCGACTAACTCAGCCTGAGGCAGGGGAACAGGAGGATGCTGCCTGCCCCTCTCCTTAGTAATGCAGGCGCTGCATCAGCCCAGCATTGCGACTTACTGGTCTCATGTGCCAAGCACTGTGCTTGACATCGGCACAACCCCACTTGGTCAGTGCCATCATCCCCAAGTCCCACATAGGAAAACTGAGGCTTAGAGAGGTTATGCCGCCTGCTGCAGGTCACAGAGATCTGAACCCAGGTCCATCTGGCTCCTGGCCAGATCCCCCTGGCCATGCTGGACTGTGCTCATCTGCTGGGGAAGAGGAAGCTGAAAAACTGAGGGCCTCTGGCCTGTAAACTTTCCAGTCATGGGGAAGGCAGGGGACAGGTGGATTCTAAGGAACAGAGCCCCCAGAATTAGGGCCTTGGCACGTGGGGAGAAATGGAGGTGGCTGTGCAGAATAATGCTTGTGTGAACAGGATGTGGGCGGGGTAGGCGGAGGCCTACGATGCTCAGACCAAGAGGACAGACAGAGACCGTGTGGCCGCCGCCCCCTCAGGGATCGCACCCTGCTCACGGCGACCTTGCTCACCTGACGTTCATCTTGCGGGAGTGGATCTGCATGATTCTGGCCCGGGCCTCCTCGTTGGGCATCGGGAACTCAATCTTTCGGTCCAGGCGGCCTGAGCGGAGCAAGGCGGGGTCCAAGATGTCCACCCTGTTAGTGGCTGCAATTACCTGAGCAAGGAAAGCAGCAGCAACTTGATGAGGAAGGGGTTCACAGACCGGCCAGTCACGGCCATTACAGGCAGAAAGGCAGCCCAGGGTCCGGGTGAAAGGGCAGGAGGTGTTCAAGACAAACCCCAACTCCAATTTAGCTGCACTAGCCAGGTGACTGAGAAGGTCCCCTGACCGCGAAGCCCCACGTTCCTCATCTGTGAAGTGACAATACTCACCTTTACTTGAGTGTTGGGCTGGAAGCCGTCCAGCTGGTTCAGAAGCTCCAGCATTGTCCTCTGCACCTCCCGGTCCCCGGCCTTCTCACTGTCAAAGCTGGGCACACAAGAGGCCCGAGACACTGGTGAGACCACAGCTCAAGGGGAGCCCTCCCCTCCTCCACCCACCAGAAGCCTAACCCAACCCATCTGGGGCAGGGAAATGCCCCACTCAACTTGGGGTCCCCAGCCCACGGACTGGCACAGGAAAGGTCTTGGTAACTGTGGATTGCAACATTCACACTGAAGAGGCTGCTGGGTTCAGGTATTGAACAGGGGATAGAAGTGAGCAAAACCAGCCACGGCCTGGGCTCGCCCCCTGATGAACATGCCATTGCAAACTGAGCTAGAGCTTACAAATATAAGGGACCCAGCCCAGACTTGAAGCGTAAGGGGGAGCCCAGGCAGGCATCCCTGAGGAAGTGTTCCTCAGCTGAGATCTGAAGGCTGAAAACACTGGCTGGGCAACCAAACACTGGAGAAGAGCGGGAAAGAAAAAGCACATTCCAGAGAGGGAACGGCAGGTGCAAACTCTCTCCCACTACAGAGCCAGAGGGCCCGCAAACTGAGGGGACACTGTGGAGAGAGTCCAGAGGGAGAGGGGACGTAGGGGCAACAATGGATAAGGCTGGAGGCGAGCAGGGGAACAGGGGGCCTTGCAGGCCACGGAAAGCCCCGCATTTACCCTAAGGAGCAACAGGAGGCCCAGAAAGGGTTTTAAGGAGGATCTGTTTGTGTGAGGGACTGTGGGTGCATGTGAGTGACGTGACCAGGTTTTGTAAGGACGATGATGCCAGCTGTGAGAATGTATGCTTGGGGGAAAAGAAAATAAGCAGGGAGGCTATTAGAAGAGAACGTAGGAAGTAGACCCACAAAAGTAGAGACAGGGTGGGATAGTAAGAGTTTAGAACAGTCCTCTTGGTGACACCCAGCACCCTTTTACCGCTTGGTGCCAATGGCATCCAGTTCATCAATGAAGATAATGGACGGAGCTTTCTCCTTGGCCAGGGCGAAGGCGTCCCGGACCAGCTTGGCACCATCCCCGATGAACATCTGCACCAGCTGGGGGCCAGCCAGCTTCAGGAAGGTGGCCTGGGTGGGGTGAGGATGGGGGTGAGAGGCAGGCCAGACACCACGAGAGGCCCCTCTGAGCTCGTA